GACGAATTTCGTCATTGCTCACCCGATGTTCCCACCAGACACGAGCAATGCTTCGAAGGCATCGGTGATCGAATACGGAAGGTCGATTAGCATCCACCGCTCAAAGAGGCCAGGTCTAGCAACCGTAAAGCAGAACACTACGGACCGCGGCGATGTACACCCTTTCCTTAAGGGGCAGTCGGATGTCACGGCGGCGCCACATGTGTTGCATGTTGGCGAAAACGAAAGCGAAAGAGTCCGGTAGAGTCTTTAAAACGGTGAAACTAAAAAACATCTTTCATTCATTCGTTCTCCGTGAGCCAACAGTCGTTCTCCATCTTCCGAGCGAGAGGAATCTAGTCTGAAAGGATTACCCAGATGCACCTCACTCGAAGTCAGTCAGCCTACTCTACCATTCATATCTCCTGCTAAAATCACGATATCAATGCGGTTCACCTTACGCAAGAGGTCGTGTAGCTTTTGATAGAAAGTATCTTTGACTGTATCTGGGCTACAGTTCGTGGGTGCGTACACTGGGACAACAAAGAAGTTGCGCTTTTCGGAGCGATGACTAATACCTTTGCACGAGCCTCTAAGTCTCACTGCGCATAACCTACTGTCGACTGGGATCCAATCCAGGAGCGCGGTTTCAGCTCCCTCTCACTGAGAGCCATGCCAACTCCAGCAAGATCAGAAGCCGTAGGTGAAACTTCGCAGATAGATTTGACGGGGACGCCAATCGGATAGCGGAGCTAGAGTCTTGAATGTGAGTTTCTTGAACACAACACACATCGATAGCTTGAGTCTCGAGGGTACGAGCTAAACGCGCCTGTTGTCCTATACGCATCAAGGTACGCACGTTAAATGTGGCTAGTTTGAATGGGCATCGAGGACGAAGAGCTCCAACTGGCGGACAAAGATTCGGTGAGACTTTGACGCTATTCGAGGCAAGACGCAAGAGAAAGGGGACTGAATTTCCATCGGAGACGCAGCTGGTAGTAAGATTGTCTGAAGATCTTGATAATGGGAATATTTGAGTATGCACAACTTTTTGAATGAAACAGGAAAAAGCTTCTTTATCACAAACCTAATTAGAATAGTAGACAAGCAGGAACCTAAGTTCTGGGACATAAAGTAGGCAACGCTAAAAGCAACAGGAAGTGGTAGCGAACTGCAAGAAAACGGAGCCCTTCGACTTCAAAAGCGGGGTTGCCATTACACGGGAGTTGAATAGCACAGTCACCACCACCCACCCACTCCAGAAAAGTCACTGCCGTGGCACACCTCTACGGTTTCATACAGGATATGGTGTTTTTGTAAATGTAAATGTGAATGTCTTTTTACTCCCTCTTTTATTTATTGAATATACAAATGTACAGTCAGGAGGGGGGCCGTAGCCATACAAAGACTGCCTGAGAAGACAGGCGGCGGTGGAGCGGTTCGAACCCGGGACCCCTAGGTTACAAGCTGGTGACCTAACCACTTGGCCAACACCTGCTATATATGATATATTGAGGATTTCAGAAGCGGAAAACGAAAAACCCATACCGCTTTCACACGTATTTTTGGAGAACATCTCAGAGGCACTGGACTGCTGTGGCCCAAAGCTAAACACTCTACCACCCGGAACGAGAAGAAATTCAGCAGAGATAAACCACGTGAAATGCGGGGCCACGGTTTCGGTGAGCTGATTTCCATTTGAGATTTCAGCTAAGCCTTATCGTATTGCGAAAACTCCAGAAAACTTCAAGCTTCTTGCTACTCTGCACCAATTCTTTAATGCAGTTGGAGGTGACGTATGAATGATTTTCGAGACGAAAAAATGCTGAAATGATTCACATACAATGCCGTGTTGGTGCACAGTGAGCTACCTTCTCGTTAGATTTTCCCACTAAAAAAGTGTTTACATCATAGGCGATCATTGAGATTGATCCGATTTCTAATAACGTAAAAAGATAGGTAAGAGATTTAGGACTATTTGTTACGTCGGCGGTCAGTTTATTTGAAATTAGCTAAAACAAACAACTTTTCAGCGAGACCGGCCGTCAAAGTTTAATAGATGAGTTAACGAATGCTGGTGTTTTCATAAATACAACCCGTTTAGCGGAGGATAAGGAGGCACAATAATCCAAAACTGCAAATGAAATCTGCCGTTAGTTATAAACCTATTTTTCCTCGCTTACTTCGATAAACTGTGATGAATACAGCTGATATACTCCTTTTTTGTGAATATGACATTAATAACTCCTTTTTTCTTTAAATGCACCTTGAAAAGACAGACAGACCACATGCTAACAAGTCCAACCAAATTCTACTTGGATTAAAAATCTAACCCAGTTTAATCAGCAGTCAGTTTATACAGGTGGAGTGGAATTTTGACGTGCAAACATTACGGAAAACTGTATCTATCGAAGTAATCAAAATCGAATGGGAGAATTTCATATTTATTGGTGTGAATACAGCCGTTTGTATAAGGAGTTGGAACAGATCTAAATAATTCAGCAGTGTAATAGAATGGCGTCCACAGGACGTATGGAATATAAACCGGTCTTAGTATTGTCACAAGAATTATAAACGATGATCAATGTGCAAAAGATAGCTTAACTCTCCATAATTCCTTCCCATTAGACATTCTCAAAGGCGCACCGTGCTGGTTTCGGGTTCAGTTACCGGTGAACAGTGTTGGGATGTTCCACCAGACAAAACAAAAAAAAGCGCGAGGACAACAGCTAAGCGCCATTTAAAACAAAAAGCATACAAGACAAATTTGCTTACGTCAGACTGGATTTTCTGAAACTCGGCCATACATGCTCGCGCTTCCTCTTCTAGTTCCTTCAGTTTGGCATCCACTTCGATCAATCGATTTTTGGCAGCCTCCAGTTCGGCCTCAATATTAGCCACTTTGATCAGGGCTTTTTCGAGGTTGCGTGCCGCAGTTTTCACACTCACTTCCAATTTTGTCAGCTGATCTTGTGTCTGAGTTCGAGATCGGTGGAAAGATGGAAACGATAATCTGTTTATTGCTAATGAGAACGGGTGATAAATAGTCACTGAAGTACAGAATAAATGAACTTGAAAGTTCCAGGAATGGATCATCTTAAAATACGTTCCCGCGTTCCACCAGTCCAAAACAATCTGGTCCGCACTGGACTGTTGTCCTTCGGGAACACAGGAATAGAGTAAATCGATGGAAGAAATTGGAACTGAAGAAAGAGATATGAACTGGGAAATTCATGTGATAATGGCGAGTCGTTTTTATTCGATTGCTTTTGGTAGTGATTTGAGAATGTGAAATACAGAGCATAAAGACGAAACCTGTGTTGAAAGTATCTTTTCGATAAAACAGGAAAGAGTAAGATTTAATCGGAAATAATTGAAATATAAAAATTTTCAAGTTACATATATTCTCATTAAGGAATCTACGAGCTGCACTTTCCAGTTAAAAGGTAATTTTGAGAATATTACAGATAAAAGAAAACGAAGTGCATGGCCTTACCTCTTTCGCTTTCTCCTCGAATGCATCTAATCGACTGCGCACCGCAGTCAACCGCACCGAACCAACATCAAGTAGCTCAGCCTTGAGTTTCTCGACTTCCGCACGTTTTTTCTGGGCCTGATCGACTTTCAGCTTGGTTTCTTTTTCCAACTTGGCGAGACTAACTTGTAATCGCTGCTGTTCTTGGGTCGATGGACCGACTGAACGGGCACGTTCTTCCGCTTTATCTGCCTCCGTGGAGAGCATGGCCACTTGATCTCGAAGACGGGCGCATTCGGTCTATCAGAGATAATTTACATTCAAAACGTAACCAATTACATAGAATTGGCAAATGTGCCACAACATATGGAAAAAGGAATGACAAAAAGGCTCAAATACAGATCAACGAAGAAGAGTCTCGTAACAGGTGCGTAAATGACACCGGTTTCGAGCTATGCCTGTTAGTGTCTCAAGCCATAGATGTTCGCTGTTCTTGGGACTCCAAATTGGGAGTCTTGCGCGTTCCACAACTGCCAGTTTTGAGGTTACAACCTTAATCGTTCCAGCCAAAAAATAAACATGTGATCCAATAAAGTACAACGTAACCGACGGGAACGGACAGTGAGGAAGTGCGCAACGATTCAATTGCACATATCTTGCATTATGGCAAGAAAATAACCCCTCTCGGTTTGAAACAAGAACGCATTAGTTGCCAGTTACTGAACAGGTTATGAAATCACATATATGCATAAGGAATAACGAAGAAGCTAAAAATGTCAAAACTATTCATAGAAGGCAAAACTGCCTGCCCTGCGGAAGTTTTCCAACAGCGTGAGAATAGATAGCACAAAATGCACAGATTCCCTATTTTCTCAGTAACACCTTACCTGCATCAAGCATCCGTGAGAGATTCGTTCACTTTCGCATACTCTTATACGGACAGCTCCTGAGTGAGAATGCGTGGGCTTCTGCACTTATAAAATCTCTCAGCAAGATCCGTACAAACTGCTACTCGATTCCCATATCGTTCTCATAGACTAAAGTTGTTTCGATAGTTTATTTGTTGTACGTCCTTGCATGTGTTGACCGAAGTCTCAAGCTGACCGACAGCGGCACACTGGAAGAGTTGTTCGCGGGAAGCATTGTGATTGCAGAGCGTCCGAGAGCATAACCCAACCATTGCCGGGACTGTGATGCAGAAACGTTATTTCTCGGTTGTCAGGGTAAGTCTTAACTTCCCTTGAGAATTCCGGCAGTTGGTGTTTGAAATGAATTATGAACAGCCGGAACCGTAAGAACGTATTGGAGTTTTCTCGAGGGTAGTCCAGATAGAGGACAGAGAACGGCAACCTGGTTTGTGCGATCTCTCCATCGGCGCCCTCTTAATCCACAATCCGAACAAATGACTAGACTGTGATCAATCCCATATAAACCGCACGTTTCTCCCACGTTTGGCTGTTACTACCAGTTAAGATCTGCACTGTTTGCGACAGTATTTTAACTGGGATCGTTGGGGTATGCGTTGTGGCACCAGGTTCGACGACATTGTTGCGAGATACAACATCGGTTATTTCAACATCTTTGAACTTATTCGTTGGAAACTCGTTGCTCATATTGTGGCTTCAGGATGTCACAGGCACGAATGTTCGAAAACTTCAGAGTTCCGCATATCAGAAGTGCCCTATGACCAGGTCCGACAGCCGTACTCATGAACCAATCTCTAAGAGATTGCAACTGGACGTGCTGTGACGGTTTTTGCGCTTCTGTGACCCAACAAGCTAAACAGGATGGCTTTCGTTAATCACGCTCGGAAGGTTGAAGGGTAGAGGTCAGACGAAGTGCAGCCTACTGGTCCTCCAGGTTGGGGTTCGACTGGAATTTGCGTTTCAGTCGGTAAAAAGTGGTGGAGGGGTAATCAATCCAAGTAAATGGATCTTCACTTCGATTAGCCCAAATACCTTAAGGTTAGGTTCTTGTCAGAGTTTTAAGCTTTGGACGAGAACCCTAATCATTCTTCTGCTTAGTGGCTGGACACCCTAGCAGAACAAGTCCATCAAACCCCAAAGCATGCACAAACAAAAATCAACTTCACAATGCAGCGGTCGACCCGCTGATTAATCAGGACCACGATGCCTATTTCATCGAACGAGGTGGGTATTGATAAGTGGGCTCCTCTTTAGACATTCGAACCCTTGCTTAACTCTTTGGCTCTCATACCCGGACTGCTTCCTTTGCCCATTCCTCTGAACTGTAATGGTCATTCAGAAAGCGTGGATGTCGCTCGCCAAAGGTTGCTGCCAAGTGGCGCTGCGAGTAGCTTAACACGAAATAGATAGCGGAGTCTAGAGCCTCGTCAATCGCTGAATTTGGGGCCTGGGCCGTGTATGTAGTGCTTAATTTTTTACGTAGCATCAGGTTTTTGAGCTACATTACAACCACCATTGACCAAAGATCGCAGTGTTGCTCGATTTGAAGGGAAGCTTCGACCCAGTTGATCGCGACGCTGTAATGGGTTCACTTTCCGAAAAGGAAAGTTCCAGAATTACGTTAAGTTACTGAACGTAATCGTACTCACATATCTTTGGTCAAGTAAGGGTTTACAACGGATTAAATAGGCCGCTCAACAGCAGCGGCTTTCGCCAAGGATACTCTTTCTCAACGTTCGTGACGAAATAGCGGAGAACGCACTCTGTGGTCTCCAAATTTGTTGGCATTGAATGAGTAGCTGGATAAAAGCTGTATGCTGATGACATCGTGTCTGTTCGAATGTATGAAGGAACCGTAAAGTGAACTTAATAGACGTTCTTTGGTATGCGCTTTGAGCCTTCAAAGTGCCAAGTGATGCTGCAAGACTGTGTCGCCTAGTCTAGTTTGAAAACACCACTTAGGTAGTTACAGGACCAATGACGGTAGCGTAACAAAGGAGATAACCACACGCATTTCCAAGGCTCGAGCAGCGTACGCAAGACTAAAAAGCCTTTAGTTTAGAAGCTACTTTCACTGAAGTTGAGATATCGTGTGTATATAGTTCCACCGTTCGTTCAGTTTTGTTTTATGGTTGTGACCTTGAATTTAGGAGTCGAAGTTTTCCATTTTCGATGTTTACGCAGTTTGGCTCACGTGGGATGGAGTGAAACGGCTAGTAATCTGGAGGTAAACTGTTGTGTGTTTAGGAGTTCGTGGGTGATCAGTTTGCTAGCACGTCGAAAAAAGGTTAGTAGGCTTCGCTGGTTAGGACATATTCTGCTCATGCCCACATGTCGTCTACCACACCGTGTCTTATTCGCGATAGCCGTTCCGGATTGAATGGAACCACGTGGAGGTCAACAGATGACGTGCAGAAGAGGCCTGGAGCATTGCACAGAGCGATTAGTTAGAGCAGGTGTCTCGCACCTTCAGGTTAGAGTCCAAAAGACTGCAATGGGGGTTGGAGACAACGAAGGATATGACAGCGAACCGATAATGTTGTGAGGTACCACTCACATTTGTGAGTTGTACGCAAAAGGAAGCGGTTAGTGGTTTCTTTTAACTATCAACAATGAACAAGACCTGTTGGGGCGAATCGCTGTATTCAGAATGGTAATTAAAAGAACGCTCATCTACTGTTGGACCGTTCCAGTAACTATCCTGTGTGCGTCTAAGAATTCTGAATACTCGTTCTAAATGAGACATTCAGTTGTATGTATGCCAACTTACCGATACCCTGACCGTTATTCATAATAAATAACTCTGGTCCCGGCACCGTCTTGTGAATTTATGAAAATGCCAGTGGCGTTCTCCATGTCATTTCATATCAGACCAGGATGCTTGAAAACTTGAATATGCATAGTTAGATTATGTAATGTGTTGACCATAGNTTTTCTTTCGCCCTATCTGAAAAAAGGAAGAACCTCTGTCCACCTTACACATCCTCGCGAACTTTGTACACATTGCGAATTTGGCAGCGATCAGTGAAGTACACCGTACGATGATAGTCATTAAAGAATGAGAAAAAATCAGATCACAGTTCCTCATATTTCATTCATTACAAGCGCACTGGTTCGGCGATGTGGCGATGGCTACGGAAGACTGAGGGTTCTTGAATTTATGTGAGCATACAGGGGGTTATGTGGGCGGATTACAATCGTCTCTGCTGCGGCCGAAATGCGACCCCTATTTCTCTTAGACCGACGGCTGTGAACTAAATACAGGCGAAACGCCACGGCTACATTAATCACAAGGCTTGACTTCATCAGGGATGAAACGACCGAACTGTCCATAGTCCAAATCACTTCACTATTCAGTCAGGCCGGGTGATGCTCACAAACTAGTTCAGATGGGTGGTGGGGCGCAGCGGTTTAGTCGCTGTCACCGGCGTGCTTTGAACCCTGTGGTCCGAGATTCGAGCCCCGCCACCGCCACCCAACTTTGGTGGTAGACAGCTTTTCTTTCGCCCGGTTCTATACCATGCCTGAGCAAGCAGGGCCTTATGTGGTTCGCCACTCCAAGTCCCGGGGTATAGGTTGCCGCTTACCATCGCCGAACAGCAGGTACCCGTGACTACGGGGTCCCACCTCGTCTGCTGTCCATCACACACCAGTGTGTAATAAAAAAGGTAAAGGTTTTCTCGTGCGGACAATATATCTTATCCCAAAGGAACAGGTACACAGAGAGGGAAAGATTATATAAAAAGGGAATTTGAGTTGAAAACGCAAGAGTGGTCTAACGATGAGTAGAAAGAGGAGTTTCGTTGCGAGAAATGTTTTTTCACACAGCTGTAGTCAGTCCACATGTTATCGTTTCGGCATTTGAGTCGCCTTTAAAGGAAAGTGATATGTACACTGGTTTCTTCCCAACTGTAGTGATCTTGTTCCTCACCCGGGGACGCCTCAAAATGTTGTTCATTAATTGTTCTGGGTATTATTTCCGAAGTAAAACCTCTCGAGTAAATTTCAGTTTATTCTCAAAGGTATCGTCTGTGTATAATTTCCACGCGCTGGTAGTTAGTCCCTGAATCAATTTTTGTATGGATTTGAACTGGCCATCCTTCAAACTTCACCTTCACGCACACTTAACAGTTCTTTCCGTCAATTAGACACCCGAAAGCACTTAACTGGAGCTCCGCTCTTATAAGGGCTCATCAATATACCCACCGTCTCGTACGGGCTTTGAACTCCGGACCCATCGCACGGAAGGGGTATGTGCTGCCACTGTGCCAACTAGTTCATACCAGAGCTGAACCGAATTGCCAGTTTATGTTTGTTCAGGTGTTGTCTTCAGTGACAGTAAGTCAGTTCCTTACTGTTTCAATGTCATCTGGTTTTGGAAATGGATCTACTGATTATTCCACGATAGATTCCTGTGGATGGTACGCTGGATAGTTCTTACTGATCGATGATTTAGGAGAACGTCCAGGAATGCGATCCGTTCAACCCTTTTTCTCTAGAGCGAACTTTATGCCTGAGTGTACTGAGTTAAAGACCATCAATAGTCTGGGCAGGTTTACCATGTCACTCTCCAGCTTAGCTATGAAGACCCACAAAAAAGTGGACCTAGGAGACCCGATTGCTACCCCACGTACTTGATAATAAACGGTATTATCGAATCTGAATTGTATGCTGCGTGTTCAAAAGTATGCGAATTTTTCGAGATCACTAACCAGTATTCCGATTTCAACAGTTATTGCTTTGTTTCTGGCCCCATACGAACTCAATAATCTCAGCTATGGAAACGCTTGTGAAGAGGGAACTGCCGTCGAGTTATATCATGTATACTCCGTTTGAGTCTCCAATTCTAGCCACCAAATTACAGGAATCCTTCAATGTGTGATTGGAGAGTTCTGCTCTCACGGGTTCCAGGGTTGCTACCAGCCACTTATCAATGGCAAGGTAGGGGGGTTAAATAAGTTCAGGATAAGTCAAATAGAGGCCCTCTATCTTTATATATCTGGGGCAAGCCACAG